TCGTATCAATGTCAGCACTGTGGTATGTATGGGAGAATTACATTTAAATCTGAACTGATGTTGTCTTATTTTACTTTTTAGATCGAGCCTTTGATCGCATCTATGATATTGAATCACACTACAATATCCACAGTGATGTAAAACCCTTTAAGTGTGAGGTTTGCGGAAAATGTTTTCGGCAGAAAAATATTCTTACCACCCACCAGACATTACATTTCGGCAAGAAAGTCGAATGCCCGCAATGTGATAAAAAATTTGCTCGACGATCCCAGCTTATTCTACATTCTCGTATGCATCGCGATGAAAAACCATTTGTATGCGAGTATGAAGACTGTAAAGCTGCCTTCCGACAACGACAGCATCTAGTCGATCATACATTTATTCACACTGGCGAGAAACAATTCGAATGTTCCACCTGTTCGAAAGCATTCCAGACACGTAAACGTTTACAGGATCATTTGTACAAGGTACATTCTGGTCATCGGTATAGTTGTTACATGTGTGAAAAGACATTCCTGAAACCACACCTGTAAGTTATTTAAAATTTTTGTCTTGTACCTGCCATAAATTATAAATATTTGCCTTGTTAATTTCAGACTAAAAAATCATCTCTTTTCTGCACACAAAGTGGCCTATGATGATGTCTCACATTTAAAAATGAAAAGAGATCAAAATAAAGCGATAGAAAAATAAATGTTTTTAAACGTTCATTGCGTATTTACCTAAGATAAATACGGCATATCCATAAATACTATCATGCGAATGTTCTTCAATAATTTATATCATTAGGTATGTAGGATAACGCAAGAGTTGGTTGTACTTTGTACAAATTAGATGTGATTACAAAATTTTGTTCGATAACCCAAAGGTCCAGTAAATGAGGACAAGTGAAGTAATTAATTTTGGCCGTTTTGAGTTTTGCAGCCGCTTCTTTTCGCACCAACGGCGTTCTCTGAAGTAGGACAACTTAAGTTTTTCAATTGTGAGGACAAAATTCCCAAATTACATTAAAAATGGGAAATAAAACACAACACGTCAAATTGAAATTGACAGTAGCATTACAGTAGATGCAAGACATCCTTGCTATCTTGATATTGTAGGACACCCAGGAGAACAAATAGAGGAAAACATACAGAAACTATAACTAAATCGTGTTTCTCCAATTATATTGATTATCGGTGTCAAATTTTAAACATTTTGAACGCATAATAAGAGAGTCTTTCATACCAACATTCTGTATTTTTTCGCCAAGCTTGGAGAAGATATTTTGAGAATTCCAATTCCTCACGAAATTCGCTTAAAATCAACATCTTTTAGTAAAGTTGAGTTGCAATCCCTAGCTTGGTTTAACAGCATCGGTGTCCTTCCTGCACGTTGCCGTAATAGCAAACCAATTTTTTCACCAATGTCAGCCGTTATTCAACATAAACTTTCTCATATTTCTGGACAATACGTTTCACAACTCAAAAAGCCTCTTTCAATTCAACATCTTGTTTGAAAAACTTTCTTTGGTTCTAAATAGATGGCGCAAAGGAATTTTTTCATTTTTTTCTCAAATTGGACATTTATTTATACCCATGTTAAATTAAATGCATTACATGGATTTGCTCTGAACCGTTAAATCGGCTCTAACCTGTTTCCGCTTGTAAAAACATGATGGGATTATATTATAATTCAATTTCACAATTGTTCCCCTTTTTGAAAATTTTCAAATATATTTCTGTCATTCTTCTCTTTCGATATGACATTCTTCAAACAGCGATGTTAGTGACAGTTTTAAATGTTTTCCATAATTCTCATTGTTTTCTTTCCAATGCTTGTCGTACTATAGTATTTTTATCCCCGAAAAACGATTTTTTTAAACCACAATAAAAGATCGAAAATTATAGGTCTGATTCAAATCTAAAGAAATTGAAAAATGTTTAAATTTCAAATAAACAACAAAGCCGGCATTTTTTTTTTTAATTTTTATCAACGTCGATGTCAATTTTCAATTTTTTTTAACGGCGACTAATTTTTATTTTTGATTTTTTTTCTGTTTGGTTGTAAAATTAAATTGAGAGAAGATTTTACAATTTGCTTTGCTGTTGGTTTCTAAAATCGGAAATCGGGAATATGTAAAACCAGTGAGACTTTCGCCAAAAATTTGATATGTGCACCTGGGTCCTTTTCTAACATCATCATCGGCGATTCAACGGATACAATATTTATTTGTGCATTTTTGAATATTTAACATTTGCATTGATGTTGATTCCGACATTTGGAAACGTGGAAAATAAGCCATTGGCCAAAAGTTGACCTCGAACGGGTACACTGGAAAAAAGGGTCCGTGTTTATCATCGTCTATGTCAAAAACTTTTTTCGACGAGAAAAATTTTAATTTTTTTATTTTCTCCATTATTATTGCCAAGGGACCGGAATAAAAATACATTTTCGCTTTGAAATTATGGTTTTTGATTGCAGTGGATTCGAAGCAAAACTTCCTGGGCGAACATCCGTAAACATCCCATTTTAGATATTTGATCATCCTGTAACTTGTCTTTTAAATATTGGTCTTCTATTTGGAGTAGCTGTCAATGTTGGTTAACACATATCTTCGAGGGATTATAGATATATTTTTGGAATTTGCAGGTTAAGGCCAGTCCAAGTACAGATACAAAATTCCTTTTTTATCTGATCATCATATATTCTGTGCCGCGCCACTTTTGTCGTTTCACTACTGATTGATGGATAAGTGTGGTTCTTTTTAGTTTTTATACCCTCCAAATAAATATTAATAAGTGTAAAATTATAAGTCGATTTAGATACGTTCATCTGTCTGTCTGTAGGTGTATTTGTCCGTCCTCCTGTTTGTTGTAATCACGCTATATTTCGAACAAATTGCTATCTTTCGAACTAATTGAGATAGAAGGCTATTGTTTCAAATTGTTTCACCGTTTTTCAAAAACTCCATTTGTTAATTTCTGTATTTTTCGTTGTCATCAGTTCATGTACACCTAAATCTTATTATGCAATAGTTTTGAAGTGTCACATATCCTCGACATGTTGATATTTTTAACATTTTAGAATTGAGTGACTTCAATATTTTTACTCATAACTCTGAAACGAAATGGACATCTGCTGATCACATTTTTTCGATGATAAGCGGTGAGCGCTTTCCTTCGTCTATATATTCGTTGGTCTGTGCCACTGTAGCGGGAAATTGCATGTGTAGTTTCTCATATTGATGCAGCCCACAAACATCGGTACCGTCCCCTTTCAGGTATTTAAGGCACGAATATTTAGTTCCCATATATTTCCTCGAGTTGGAGGCTTTCGGCCTGACATTTTTACTTGTTTTTTCAAAATGTTGTAGGACATTTGAATATGGTCACCCAGGGGCAAATTTAAAGCTGAGCCTTCTATATTTAGCAAAAGTTTATTTTTTTGCAAAAACATCAAATTTAATATAAAAAACGAAATATACCTTTTAAGCACTAAAAAGAAAGGTGTAAATTGATATTACTTTAGCAGCCCTTTTTGGCGGTATAATGACTGCATATAATCGATAACTTCTTTTTTTATGCATTTTAAAGCTCGACTTATATAAACCTATACTCAGTTGACGGAATGTTTTTATAGCATGTTTCCATTGGAAACCGAACAACGTTGTTCGCTCTCAGAATTAGGTACACGAATTAACCCGTTCATACGGCACGATTCGTAATTTATAGTAAAGTAATTCCTTTTTTCAAAAATTTTGTTTGTGGATTTTAATGGGAATTTATACGAAAATACATGAAATTCTCACTAATATGAATAGAAGAAATTATTGTTTTCCTCCCAAAGATTTATTATATCATTAATTTTACAATTTTCATTCAAGTTTTCAGCTTTTTGTGTAAATGTTGACATTTTGAACAAATGTTTGTGTTTTTCCATTTTTAATTTCTGCTGGAGAGACACTTGTCAAACATTTTTTCTGCCGATAGAAACATTTTGAAAATATTGCCTCTTTTGTTTGCAGTTGTCTGTGGAAAATTTAACTCGTGGACCAAATGCGTACCTCGAATGAGAGAGAAAACAAAATTTCCTTTCGTTTGAATGTACATACGCCATTCAACATTGTAGTTTTCATTCATAATTTTCAGTCTTCCCAAAAATTTTTAAATTTCATCAATTTTTTCTATTTTTAATTGTTAAATGTCATAATCTATTTTTTCGATAAATGCCCTCATTTGTTAGGGATGGGACATATTTTTTCGTTGTTCTGAGAGTGATTTGATTTGAACAACTTACAAATATGAGTGTTCGCTCAGGAAATTTTGTGTGAAGAATTAGGTAGTTTTTTCATAGTTAAGGGTCGAACAACGAATAGAGAGCGAATCAAGTGCAGTGGAAACGCCACATTACATCTTTGCAGATGAATTGTTGGTCCGTTTGACAACTGCAAGACTGTTATAATAAACAATTTTACCTCCTTGATATCGAAAAAAAATTCGGTTTTCTTTGAAACCGAGCACATATTATCCGTGTGTTTTTTTATCACTCATACTTGTTTTTATTCCCATTGATTACAATAGATCTGTTCCAGAACTACATGTTTACTACGATAACCAAGGTTCTGGTATCCAGATCCGGAGCCTCGGTTATCGTAGTAAACATTCTTTGTAGTTCTGAAACAGATATATATATATATATATATATATATATATATATATATATATATATATATATATATATATTTTTTTTTTTTTTTTTTTTTTTTTATTAAATTATTGGACTGTTCCAGAACTGCTGGAATGCAAACATTTTTACTACGCTAACCGATTCTTCCTTTATGATATCGAAAAATTGCAAATTTAATAGATTCTTGCAGTTTCTGGAACAGATCATCTATTTTTCCGATGAAAATAGGGCACACAGTGATCGAAAAAGTCATGAATATCACTCATGAATTTCACAACTGAAATGACGACCATATATCACACGATATGTGTAACTTCAACATGTAGAAAATTTCACACCACATATGTAAAAAACATTTCGTCGACGGGTTTCTTCGTAAAAAGTTGTACACTTTTGCAGTTCTGAAACAGAATAAGAATTTAAAAATAAGGCAATGGAACTAAAACACAAGAAACCCCAACAGAATTGAATGAACTAAAGACGCCAGATAAAAGAAACAGCCGTACCTAGTCCCGATAGTTCCTCTAGCCGAATAGTTCCCTTGAACTAGTTTGTTCCGGAACGACACAACCCTAGCTCTAGGCCAAAAGAAAACTTGTTTACATCAGGAGATCACAAATCGTAAATTTAAGGATATTTTGTTAAATAAGATGAGCTTGCAACCGGCTAGCACTTCACAGACAGCAACGACATCACAGGACGCTTGTTATATTTCATTACTGGGCCTGGCGGAATATTTTCGCACGTCACAGCCACCGAACATCAAGAGGTGTATACAATGTCTACAAGCTTTGTTTACGTTCAATCCACCATCGAAAGTAGAGGCACGCACCCATCTGCAAATGGGCCAGATACTTATGACGTACACCCATAACATCGACAAGGCCCGGGAACACTTGGAAAAGGCGTGGAAATTGTCCGAGTCATTATTAAATTTTGACGATGTTAAATTTGATACCGCATCAATGCTGGCCGAACTGTACAAACAAATCGATCAGGTTCCCCTGGCCAAGGCTATGCTGCGAAAGGCAATCGAATTGTCACAAAACAATGTCTATTGGCATTGTAAACTGCTGCTGCAATTGTCCCAACTACATGCAAATGACAAGGAATACACTCTAGCTTCAGAGCTGCTTGCGGTTGGTGCAGAATCAGCCGATGAGTCAAGTGCCACATATTTAAAGGTGCTCTTTCTGCTGTCACGAGCAATGATCCTAATGATAGAACGTAAAACCAACGATGTACTGGCACTGCTCAATTCGGCTGGGGCCATAATTGACAATAGTATTGCGAATCCACATCAGAAAGAGTATTTGAAGGTGTTCTTTTTGGTGCTACAGGTGTGCTATTATTTGGCCCTGGGTCAGGTGAAGACGGTAAAGCCCAGTTTAAAGCAATTACAAATGTCTATACAAACAATAATGGCGCCAAATTGGCCTGCAGATGAAGGTAAGATAAATGGCACCTCTTTTTAATTTTCAAAGCAAATAATCCTCAATATTATTTTTTTAGTTATTTTCGGACAAAATCCCTTGGACATGTTTGTATGGCTGCCCAAGGAACAGCTTTACGTTCTGGTTTATTTGGTAACCGTGTCACACTCAATGATGGCCGGCTACATGGATAAAGCCCAAAAGTACACCGAAAAAGCACTAACACAAATCGAAAAGCTAAAAAGCCAAGACGACAAACCAATATTATCGGTCTTCAAAGTCATCTTGCTGGAACACATTGTAATGTGCCGACTAGTTATGGGAAACCGTGAGTTGGCCATACGCGAAATAGCCATATGCCGAGACGTGTGTATGTCTTCCGGTCCCAAAGGTCAATTAATGCGTAGACATTCGGCCCAGCTGCACTGTCTGGTGGGTCTCTATGCCATGTCCACAAGTTTCTTTGAACATGCCGAGCGACAATTTCTTACCTGTGTAACAGAAACGAGTGAGAGAGATTTGAAATTATTTGCAAATCTCAATTTGGCTATTATATATTTACGAACGAAGCGCGACAAAGATTTGAAACAGATATTAGATGCCGTCTCAACGGAAAATACTCATACGTATAGCTCGCAGGCGTTAATGGGAGGATTTTATTATGTACAGGGTCTACATGCTTTTCACAAAGCCAGTTTTCATGAGGCCAAGTAAGTGGAGTGCTTTCTCTAATCGAGTTTAAATGAGGCATTTGATTTTTTTTCTATTTACAGGCGATTTCTACGTGAAACATTAAAAATGGCAAATGCTGAAGACTTAAATCGTCTGACGTCCTGCTCTTTGGTATTGTTGTCCCATGTTTTTCTCAGTATTGGCAATTCGAAAGAAAGTATGAACATGGTTACGCCGGCCATGCAGTTGGCTTCAAAAATTCCCGACATCCACGTCCAGCTATGGGGATCGGCCATACTCAAAGATTTGCATCGAATGTCAAAGGATGCCATACACGAAAAGGAGGCATATGCCAATCATGTCAAATATTCAGAAAATCTTATTGCCGATCAATTGCGATGTGTTCAAAGTCCACATCATGCATTGATCGATTGGTTGGATGGTCCGCCCAATACAATGTTGGCCATTACCGCACCTGAAAAGGATCAACAAATGCCTACCAATGCATTGCCATTGCCACCTGCGGATGCAAAAACAACAATGCCAGTGCAACAACCGCCTATGAATATACAAAAACAACAGCAAGCACCAGCGCAAAATATGCAATTACCCATTGCATCGACATCAACAGCTATACAATACGCAGCTACGCCTAGTGTACCACAACCAGCATCAGCGCCACCACTACATCAACCGCATATGCAATCAGTAATTGTTCCAAGCATTGCTGCAGCCCATCCCATTCCGTCGACATCGAACCAAATTCCACAAAACTTCCATAACATACAACAGGCAGTGGGGCCACAAGTCCATCAGCTACAACCGCAACAATATGGCCAATACTATTAGGATATGTAGTCATCATAGGATTAAACTGTTTTATTTTCTTTTTAAATACAGGTTATTTTTTCGTTTAGATTCTAATAAAAAAAACACTCCTCTTTTTTTAAAATTACACAAATAAAGTGGAGTTATTTCTTTTGGGGAGTTATGAAAAGCGGGTAAATTTTGATCCAAACCGGAAGCCTATTTGCCTTTTATCAGCGTTTGGTTATTCAAAATGTTGTCTACCTGTGGTTGAGGTACCAGAAGGAGTGGGCCGATGAATCCCATATTCACACCAGATCTTGTTTTGGCAGAAATATTGAGATGTGTAGAATTTGAAAGGAATCGGGGACTTTTTCACCTTTTATGAGCGTTTTTATACCTTCCACCATACATAGTATGGAGGGTATATTAAGTTCGTCATTCCATTTGTAACACCTTGAAATATAAATTCTTGACCCCAAAAATTATATATATTTTTGATCAGCATAAAATTCTATGTCAATTTAGCGATGTCCTTCCCATATAACGGTACCTCCCGATATTCGGTATTTTGATGATTTTATCGACATTATTCACCGGAATTGTTTCAAATTTGAAGTTCGTAATGAGTGCTCGCATTTATGTTTTGGCTTTTGGTTTTTCCATATTTTGATCGGATGCTTATTTCGCATTCAATTTCCATCACTGGGGTACATCTATCTTCAAAACCTTACAAAAACTGCATTTTTTTTGTTACAAAATTCAAATGAATATTTTTATTCTAAAAAAATATCAATCAATAAAAAACAAAAACAAATAATCCATATTCTTTTTTAAAATATCATAAAAGTAAGATAATATTCTTTACATTTACAAGGAACTTAAAACAATGGTTCTTTAATAAAATTAGTATTTTATATTGAAAAGGGATCGTAGTCGTCAGCGTTAGTTTCGATGGGATTAAACGTTTGAAATCGATCCTTTTCACTGTCGTCCGAATCCAGTTCATCGTATATACGCGATTCATCAATGTTGGGTGTATTCTCTAGAATTGCTTGCAAACGCTGCTGCGGCATAATGTATTCCAATTCCGAGGAAGCTATTGCATTGTAATTGAATTTCAACCAGGAATATTTTGTCGATTCCTGTAGAAGGCGGGGCCATGGTACAAATACGTTTTTTACCAAACGTATTATGACATTTAAACCTTTGATTTCATGAGAAACCTGTTGCGGATCAATGGATCCCAGCAGGTGTAGGAAGACTACATATTCTTCACCTTGAATTGACGTATGCAAATAGACGGTTTTTTGTGTAACTTCTAGATTATAATCTACAATATCAGGTGCATATATTGATATGAAAATTAAACAATCTGTTTCATACCATGTGGTCATGGGACGTTTATATAAGGCTTTTAATATTGGTGGTGGGGTTTTTATGTAGGAATCATCATTTGAGGAGGTAATGGAAGCTGATGATTTCTTGTTATCCGAATCATCTTCTGTGGTACAATGATCCTCCTCATCATCGTCCAATTCGCTGTGGATTTGAGGGGGTTTCTTAGTCGTCAATGGGCTGTCCTGTTTGGATGATATTTTGTTTTTGTCTGCTTCTTCTTTCACTTCTTCTATTGTGCATTCTTTTATTTCTTCCAATACTTGAGCGGTGGTGGCCTCATCCAACAGATTATTATCCAATTTGTCGAGTTCATGGGATTTTTCAATACATTCTATTAATTGTTCAAATGTATAGACCTCACTAATGTCACTGCTACTTGAAGTATTTGCCTGGGATGTGTTAACTTGTTGAGCTTTAATCTCTTCCCCATTGGCATCATTATCATCATCATCGTCTAAACATAATTTGTATTTCAAATAATGTTTGTCATTCTCGTCCACCGAAGTTATGCCCTTGTCGACAAGAGTGCGATTAAACATTTCAGCATTGGAAAAATCACTTGATTTCTCACATTCGTAAAGGAGTATTTTATAGGAATAAATGTTCAGGTTGTTTAAACTCAATGACATTTTTTCCTCCGCTGTTCTCTGCTCCACTGCACAGGCATATAGATATTCTTTCGTCACCTTATACCTCTTGGCAAAACGATCCAGTTGTATGCCAGCCAATGTGCAATGTACCGCTTGATATGGTATAAAGCTGACAATTTCGTCCGTGGTTTCATAGAGAAAATCATTGTACAACTCATTTGATTTGGCATTGGTAAAACATGCATAGTCACAGAGGAAGAATCGGTATAGACGTTTCTTAACACTGGTGCCAAATACACCATGCACCTTGGCTCTTAGATACATATTATCGTATTTGACAATACAATTATGAAGCGGCTCAAAATCATAAATTCGTTTAGGTGGCTCTTTCTCAGCTTGGGCTTTTAAGTTTGACACATGTCGGTTGATTAGCTCGACAAGATCATCAAACATGGCCATGTGTTTCTTATCGATGATTTGAAGAAAAATATTTTCCCAATTGCCATTTTCACCCTCATCTCCAATTTCGACTTTGGTTAAATCATTTAATGGCAACTGTGACCATGATTCTTGTTTGGTTTCAGGTTTTCCACTAGCTGGTGATGCCGTTGTTAGGGGCAAATAAATCTGAACAAAAACAATAAACTTAAATTACATTTGAAAAGAAATAAAAGAACAATCAAATTTACCTCTCCTCTTTCTTTACCCTCAACCGGATCATCACATTGTAATTCATCCCAATTTTCCTCATTACCATTAGATTTGGTTGCTTTCGATGGGTTTATTTCCTTTTCAGAGGCACTTTTGTCTTGTTTCTGTTTTTCCTTAGGTACTGATTGCTCCCCCTTCTCCGACACCTCTAACGAATTATTTTTAAAAGACTCCATACTGGTATTTGTTAAAGCATCACCATTCGATGAGGAAAACTTTATCAAATCACTTTGACACGATTCATAGTCCTCCAAAGATGTGTCAATAATATTGGATGTCTCACAACTCACACCATTGCTGCTGGGCTTCAGTAGGCCATACTCCAGGGCAATATCACGCACATGTTTCCTTTCACCCTTGCTGGGCAGGGCAAAATTTCTCTTTATCAGCGACAATTTCAAATTAACGTAAGGCCTATAAGTGCCCAGGGTAGATAGTTTTTCCATTACCACCAAATTGTTAACCCATATTGTTTGGGCCAGGGCAAATGTAACGCCCACCTGGACAACATGATCCGCTTTGATTTCATCCATAATCCAATTTTGTACTTGTTTTGTTGTCTTCGAATCCCAGGTACGTTCATTATCGAATGGCACAACATTCATTAGTCGTATATCGATGGCTTGGTGGGGAAACTCCTTAAATTTATCGTCGCAGATAAAAAGTTCACTGCACTTGACCGAATTTATGACTATGCCAACATCGACTAGCTTTAGGGTAACTTTTAGATTAGCTTGTACTATGTTCACATTCCTCCCGACCAAGTCTGGGGCTTCCAGAATGAGAGCCCTACGGAAGTTGTCACCATATTTGTACATACACAAATCATTGATATGCGGTGGCCAATGTAGAGCAAGATTTTCCTCGTTGCGATAATGCTGATCCATTTGTACGGAAAATGTTAAATTTTCACCAGAACGGCGAATTTCTCGCCATTTTGTGGAGTTTGGAGGCTTGTGCAGCAATAGGCGGGCGGCGTAGTGGGTTGGGGAAAATACCTCGGTGTGAAAAAAATAAATTTTATATTATTCAAATGACCAATTGAGACCCTCGGTTTTGTTTGAAATACCTACCTTTAAAATATGTATCCTCATTTCTCCCTCAGTTGGTATATCTTCTCTCTCATCAACCACATCGAATCGTGTCAATTCATGACGTTTATCACAGCGTGTGTCATCACATTCGCCAAATTCCAGCAGTTGAGGACACAGCAAAATTCCCTTGCAAAGCCGTGATTCTTCCCGTTCGATGAGGACTCGTTTTGATACAGCCAAAATATCTGAATGCACCGCCTGATTGTGTTTACGCAAAAAGTCTACCAAGCGCGGCAATTGTAAGCTATTGTCTTCGTCAAGTAAGATCATTGAATGTGCTGACACGTCCAATGATCTGGTGGTGTTGCTGGCAGTTGCTAGCAGAGGGGCCTCTTCGAATTTTTTCGATACAAAATTATCGTAGGTCTGTGCCAAAGCTGAGAATCTGGTTGTAAATTGTGTCCAAGATGTGGGCATTGAATAATGTATAAGATGGTAGACGTTTTGAATTTTTAGCTCGGGAAAACGAGCATCGGTGCAGACAAGGATTTGCGAAGAAACCTGTGAAAGAAGAATTATAAAGCGAAGAATATAATTAAATTTGTTTCTGAAAATAATAGTAGATTTTGTGATCTGCAAATCTTGTTAGGGAAGATGTATAGATTTTCTTGGAAAAACTGTGAATTTTCTTTTAGATGTCCTGGAGAATTATATTTCATTTATTTATTCAAAATGTTGACCTGTTGGGGAAGATATCAGTAGGAGAGGACCGATATAACACATTTCCCTTCTAGATCTTGTGTTGGTACAAATATTAGAATCATTTCGCCTTTTATGAGCGTCATGATTATTCAAACCCTTTTTGGAGGAGATTCACACCAGATCTTGTGTTGGAAAAAATATTGGAATGTGTTAAATTTGAATATAATCGGATGCTTATTTCGCCTTCTATGAGTTTTTTGGTTATTCCAAATTTTGGGCCTTACTGGGGAATGTATCAGAAGGAGAAGGCTGATATATCTCATCGTCACATCAGATTTTGTTTTGGTAGAAAGAAATAGATGTGCAAAACTTTAATGGAATAGAATGCTTATGAGCGTTTTATGAGCGCTTTGGTTATTCAAATTGTTGAACCTTTGTGGGGGAGGTACCAGAGGGAGCGAGCCGGTATATCCAATCTTCACATCAAATCTTGTTTTAGTGATGTGTAATCGTATGTAGAATCGTATGTTTGTTTCGCTTTTTTTGCCTTCTATGAGTTTTTGGTTATTCAAAATGTTGACCCTTTGTGGGGTGTGAGCCGGTATATCCCATTTTCACACCAGATCTTGTTTAGTAAAAATATTGGAATGGGCGAGATTTAAAAAAAAAATTGGAATTTGATTTTTTTCTAGAATTTTATAAGCATTTTGGTTTTTCAAAGATTTGACCCGTTGTGGGAGTGGACTGATGTATCCCATCTCCTCACTAGATCTTGTGTTAGTAAAAATATTAGGATGTGCCAAGTTTGAAAAGAATCGGATGTTCATTTCGCCTCCCCCCGTTGTGGGGGAGGTACAAGAGGGAATATATTATCTTCAACCCAGATCTAGTGCTGATAAAAATATTGGAATAGGCGAGATTGAAAAGAATTGGCATTATGGTTTTCCAATATTTAGTACCTTTGTGGGGGAGGTATTAGAAGGTGTCGTCTCGCACCTGACCTTGCACTGATAAAAATATTAGAAGTTGCAAAGCTGGCCTACAATCGGATATTTTTTCTATTTTCATGACATAAATTATTTTATTGGATAATTTTGAAATTCTTGTGTGGAAAGTGCCAGAAGGAGTGGACCAATACGTCCATCTTAGAACTCGAGTTCAACAATAATATTACGATGTACCTAGTTTGAACGAAATCGGATATTCCAATCGAGAGTTATCGTGCACAACAGGCAGTGGACAGAGAGACAAACGAAGAAAAATTTCTTGAAACGGATTTCGACCAAGGAGACCTAGGGTCTTAAACCGTTATTTTTTTTTGACACGTTTTGATCGTATCAAATGATATATACCTTCTGTAGTCATAAGGCTGAGGGTATAAAAAAGGTATCGTTGGATAGGATATGTAGATTTTCTGTTAAAATATCAGTATTTAAAAGAAATTGAGTTTGTTATGATCTGCTATGAAAGATCGGTACTTTTTAGGTGAATTTCTGTTAAATCAGACTATTAAAAAATAAAATTTTATAAATTACCTTATTTTTCCATTCATCGACGGTGGCTTGTTCACTATCCGTCGAACGATTGTAGTACGGCAGGCATGGGTAACCACATTCTGTTATAAATTGCACAACTGTTTGCACATCTTCGTCGCTATTGCACATGATTAGCATGCGGCCATGTTCCAAATCTCCCTCCAGACTTTCGGTGGTTTTCTTAATAAAACGGAAAATTGTGTCATTCTTTTCTTGACTAGATTTCAATTTAACCGATAGTCCGGCACGACCATAAACAGCAGCCTCAAGGAAATCACCGATCAGCAATAAAGGTTGATTTGATTTTCTTATTAAACGTATCATTACACCATCCCAATCGCGTGAGGTAACTATCAGTTGTGGTCTCAGGGTTTTATATTTGGATTTTCTACATAATTTAAAGACAATGCGAACGGCCGATTCAAAATCTTCATGGGAACGTGATAACATTATGTCCATGTCGTCGATTACAATGTGTTCTAAACGTTCACTGTCGAACAGTGGTTCATTGCTGTTGTCCCGCAGTAGACGCAAAAGTGACGAAGGTGTGGCAATTAGAATGCCACAGCCATTGAGCAGTTGCACTTTAGTGTCGATAAAATTTCGCATTCCATAGGAGGGTACACAGCTGGGAGCTTCGGATTTTAGACCACTCATCAAACGTCGACAATAGCCATTAACAGACTCCACATGTTTGGAGGAGGCCACCAAAATAATGGCCACAGGACCGTATGAATCCTTGATTCTTTGATAACGACCACTTACCACACTGCACAATGCTGGCAGATATGACCATGTTTTGCCACTTCGGGCTGGATTTACCACAAACAAAGAATTACCTCTCAGCACATGGGACCAGGAGTACACTTGAATGCGATAGACCTTGTTGACACGCATATTTCTCATTTCTTCATAGATTTCAGATAAAAACGGAGCTTCGGCCACATTTTCTATTGGCTCCAACGGTACACTGGAATGGGCCAATACCAAATGATCAATAAATTTGGTTTGCATTGCAATTTCTCCTTCAATTATGGGCAAATGTTCGGTGCGTTTTACTTCCAATAGAGTATTATAATTGTATATGTTCTTCATGTGTTTATTTTCCGGGGATTTTCCCATGGACAAGAGATTTTTTTCGCTATTCTTCAGAGAGGAATTGGAGAGGTTCAATTTATCCATGAACGATTCGCTTGACGAGGATGACGTGTGGGTGTTTGAGTGTTTTTCATATATGTTATCTCTATGTGACATAGACGCCGCAGAGGAGGATATTTGTGATCGTTGTGGACTTGTGATGCTATTCTTTAAATCTAGAATATTCGTATTGCCACGTTCCTTCTCCAAGAAATGCTGTTGCAAAATTTCATCGATTTTGGAAATTTGAGTTTCGGGTGATTTCAATTGGCGATGATGATGATGTTGCAGTTTACGTTTAAGATGCTTTTCACTGTTGACCGTGGAGTTGGTGGTGGAAGAGCTGTTTTTGTAAGTAAAATGGGAAAATCAAAAGAATTAAATTTATCACAAAATTTAACAAAAAAAAAAAAAAAAAACATAAATAAATAAATTAATAAATAAAAGGAAAATGTTGGCTTAGTAAAGCAATCATATTCAAAAAAATGAGAACAAGAAATAAAAGGATTTAAAAAATGAATTTAATATTTTTTCACTATTCTTCTAAATGTAACTTTCGTATTCCAGTGATAGCTTATTATATTGTTTACAAGCGTACAAAATCATTCTGATGAGAATTTTCCAGAAAAAAAATTATTTGTGATGGAATTCAAGTGTGATTTCTTTATATTTGGCTGGAAAACCACAAGTGGCTATCGTTAGAGCACTCCAGAATTTAAATGTGAATAAATCTTTTGTGGCTCGTACCATCGCTCGTTACCACGATACTGGTAGCGTAGCCCAACGTCAACGAAGTGGACGGAAGAAAACTGTAACATCAGCAGAAATGGTTTGAAAAGTAAAGAAGCGACTTGATCGAAACCCGCGTCGCAGTGGCCGAAAAATGGCTAGTAAGCTGGACATAACGCAATATTCCATTCGGCAAATATTGAAAAATGAGCTCGGGGTAAACCCATTGAAATTCTAAAAATAGTTTGGCAAGTACCTTTTATTTTAAAGATGTAAATTGTTAATAAAAAATTCCCCCAGGCCAAAACAAACTTTTGTAAAAGCAAAAAAGTAAAAAAAAGAAAATGAATAAAAATACAAAGAACGAAAAATTGTTCGTTCGCTTTGAGTTTCACAGCGACAGGCTGCCACTTCATTAACATATTTAAAATAAAAGGCACATTCAATAGATAGCGTTATGAAATTAATTATTTATTCATAAAAAGCAATAAAGAAAAGGAACTTTGGTATTCAATACCATACAAACGAAAATATAAATGTTTCAATTAAAAACAAAAAAAAAATCTCAACACAAGAAATCCACTTATCTTTTAAATAAACGAAAATGCAATACTTTGAAATTGAGATGAAGATTTGAAGTAAGATTTGACTTACGTCGATATTTCACTGGCATGAAGGGAATCATAGGCATTATATGTGCCATTAAAGCTGTTCTTTCTTTTCGGTTTTGATTCCAGTTGCTGGGAACATTTCACAGGTTTTATGAGATTCTCGGTGTCGACAATGCTGGGTATAGATTGATCTAGAATATTTGCCTTCTCTTGCCCTTCGTTTGGCTTCTCTCTACGCTGTATACCAGCTACAGGACGTGTTAAACGTTTCGAGTTGTGCGTAGAGTTTTGCTTTACAGCTGGTGGTTTTATTTGAAAGAAATCGGATGAAGAACCACTTTGATCCAGTCTAGAATCATTATGGATTAAAAACTCTTCAGAGGATGATACCGTTTGATCGTCATGTGGTATAGTTTCATGACGTGTACTCTTCTTGCGGTGCCAGTGGTTTTCCTCATCACGATATTTCTGTAAACGGGTTATATCAAAACCGGCTGGGACCAAGGTCAAACCATCATAGGCACTTTGAGATTCCTAAGGGGAAAATTAAAAACATTTAGAAAATCATAAAAAAATGAATTCATGATTAGACTTACCTTATCACTACTAATCCTGGAAGTCTTTGGTTTTGTTTTAGAATCAATTGCTTTGAATATATCAAAAGTGGCTTTATCTTTGGGAACATGTTCTTCAAGCTAAAATATTTAAAGATTGCCTAAATAATTATCAACAATTGAAAATGGGAAAACATACCTTGCAACTGGTCATTGCCTCTATCAAGGAATTGTCGGTGGTGGTATTTACTGATGATGGTAGCAATTTAGCTTCCATTTCACCAAATAGCTTACTGTAAATATTTCCTGCCGAAGAGTCCTGGGTGTCCTTGCAAAGATATAGATATTCATTTATTAGGTTTATATATTAAATTAAAGTCTGTAAGTCAACTTACTTGTGTTTTGTCTAAATTCGAATCCTCCATGCCGGTTGTAGACTGTTCAAGTAGTTCATATTTATTTATGGTTGACGGACTTTCAATGGAATGTGTTGAATCATGTAGCTGGTACTGAAAAGTAAAGAAAATTAATATACTTTACAAATGTTACAAACTAAACTAAGAGGAATAAGAGTTCACGAGAACTTCATTTTTAAAAACCCATAGCCAAGCAAAACAATTTAAAACCAGTAAAGAAAGTCACATAACAATTAAACGTTTTTATGGGAGAATTCAATAATACACGCTATAATTATAATCTAAAGTTCAAAGGACTAAATATTTGGTGCAAAATTAACTTGAAATCGGATAAAGATATATATGGGAGCTATATCCAAATCTGAGATGATCTCGTAAAAATTTGGCAAAGACATTTCTAATGCTAGGAACACAATTGGAGCGAACGACGAATTTTTTCGCGGCGTATGTTCGTCGTCAAAAATAAAACACATATGTGTATATGGAAGTGCACACAATCACGGCACCGGCGAAAATTTCGTCGGTCGCCGCGAACTCAATTAGCTTTATTTCTATTTCATACGCCGGCGACCGGCGAACAAAACAGTACGAGGTGGCCATACTTGTACGAATTTTATGTGTTTTAGTAAATAAAGTTACTTTTTACTTTAAAATTTGTTATGGTCACTCTACTATCTGTTACTCGTATAAAAAAAAAACATAATTAATTTGTTTATTTATTTTGTACTTGCGCCTGAGTGAAGATGGATATCAGTGAATTTATAATAGAGAAGATGGACATAAGTGAAATTTTAATAGAGAACGTAAAGAATTATGTGTTCTTGTATAATTCATTGTAGTCAACAAATGAGCAAAAAGTAAACAACTTCATCAGCTGTTTTATAATTTCGTCGGTATTGTGTTCCATACGACGAATTTTCGCGGCTCATTTTGTCGCCGCGTAGGGCGAAATTCGTCGTTCGCTCCAATTGTGTTCCTAGCATAAGCTGTATTTGATATATTTCCCTAAATATTGTTGTTGCGGAGTGTATATTACGGCTGTGGGTAACAAAATATAACGTATCTATATCTGAACCGATCTTCACCAAATTTGACATACAAGATTCTAGACTCAATTCGGTCGTAAGTGCCAAATTCCATCCCATTTGGGCAAATATTAGACGTTTGGTAAATCGGACGAAGTTATATTTGGGAGCTATATCCAAATCGGAACCGATCTCGATAAAATTTGGCAAAGATATTTCTGAGCTGTATTTGTTATATTTCCCTACATATTGTTGTTACGGAGTGCATATTACGGCTGTGGGTAACAAATATAATAAATCGGATGAACAATATATATGGGAGCTATAGCTATATCTGAACCGATCTTCACCAAATTTGACATACTAGCTTCTAGACTCAATTCGGTCGTAAGTGCCAAATTCCATCCCATTTAGGCAAATATTAGACGTTTGGTGGCCAATAAAAGGCAAACCGGACGAAGATATATGTGGGAGCTATATACAAATCTGAACCGATCTCGATAAAATTTTGGAAAGGTATTTCTGTGCTGGATTTCATATATTTCCACAAATATCGTTGTTACAGAGTGCATATTACAGCTGCGGATAAACAATATATATGGGAGCTATAGCTATATCTGAACCGATTTTGATAAAATTTGGCATACTTATTTTCAGGCCGAATTTGGTTGTATGTGCAAAATTCCATACTATTCGGGCTGATATTACACGTTTGGTGCACAATAAAAGTCAAATGGGACGAAGATATATATGGGAGCTGTATCTAAATTTCAATAGGGTTCGTTCTTGGGCGAAGCAAATGATTTGTGCAAAATTTCATCTGGATGTGCAAATAAATGCGACCTGTACTTTGTTTACAAAAATACATGGATAGACGTACGGACGGACAGACAGACAGACAAATTTTGAAGTAGTGATTGAAATGACTGTAAGGCTCCCATGCTGTCTAAATTGTACTAAATGTATCATTTTTGGGCAAAATATGTCGGCCATGGGTCAAAACATATGAACAGATTTGTTATATTTTCCATTTTTTTGATAAACTTTTGGCAGCAAGAAATGCCTGAGTTCGCCTTATTAAATAGACACTATTAAGCGACCTTATTAAGTTTCATCGAATTTCCATGAATATGTACATTAGAATATCTCATTAAAATCATTTAAACCTTACCTTCTGGCGCATGCCAAGTAAACGCTGTGTCCGAGAACTGATTGTGCGAACACCAGATGCTGAACTTGACGCTGGAGGTGCAGGTGCAGTGGACGATGCAATCTTTTGCTCACATAAAGATATCGATTTGGTTTCTTCTTCCCGCTGAGAATATTTTTTACGTAAATCAACAAGTCTTTGTTGACGTATTGAGACCACACTATCACCACCATCATCAGTGCTAACGCCACCTGATACTACAGAATTGGGAGGATTCTGATTTACAAAATCGGATGCAACTGGCTTATGTTTCTGTTGTTGTCTTTTGGCTTCGCGTGCTTGTTCCATGCGAACATCAGCCAATCGACGCATACGAGTAGAGGCATTTGTGGAACCTGATGCCGAGGAGATTATTGTTGGAGCCGAAACGGCGGGTTTAGGAGCTTTCAAATTAAATGTTTCATTAAATTCGATTTCATCACGATCTCGTATATTCATAGCAAATGCCTGGGATTCGGCTTGCGGTGGTAAATTATGTTTGGAGTATTTTTGCTGCTTCAGCTTGGTAAGTTTGCCCGCTTTGCCTAAAAAGTTAATGGCTTGCTCGTCGCCAGTATTGTTTCGTTTGTGTTCATGATGATGATTGGCAATTTTGGCCGCATATTTTGCATCTTTTCTGTTCTTTTCATGTATCACCGATACGGAATCATCAAATGTTATATCATCAATGTTATGATCATGCCCACTTTCAGCTCCCGATGACTCCAAGTGTTCTGTGGAGGAACTCACATCATTTGCCACTTGAACCAGGGCATTTCTGGCACACCAATCCTCGACTTTACGTTTGGCACATTCATCAATAATGGCCGAATTCATTTTATTACTATGTTCGGCCATGTTATGTTTTATGGAATTGATTTTAAATTTAGAGTTACGATTGTTTGAAAGCCAAGGTGCAATACTGGTCGTTTTGAGCTTAACACACATTTTAGGAAACAATTGTGGATCCACATCAATGGCAAATTTGGCCGCTTGTAAATAGGTGTGAGCATTAAATTTGTTTCCCTTATGATTCGAGATAATTAATTCGCCCCAATGATGATCATTGGCCGTCTGAAATTTTTCGACAAAAACAATACATGAGGCATCGGACAACAGTTTTTCAAACATATCACAGGATCTTTGCAACCATTCATCCTGCTTTGCCATAACCAGATTACTTTCGATGTGATCATAATCAAGAACTGCTGGCTGAATGTTGGCCACGCCACCACGATATATGTGACCGATTCGATTGGCCAGTGCTTCTGGCAGATAACGTAAATGCTCCCTTTTGCTTAGTAATGGAAAGCCATAATCTATGGCCCAAACAATGTACTCTTCCTGTTGCAGTTCTCCTTTTTGCAATATTTCAGCTCTAATGTATTTATTCCAAACTACAAAATTAACAGCAACTATGTCGCCCACATCAAGGCGACACCGATCAATGGCCGGTTTACATCTGTACAGAGTTTGTAATCGCTCTTCCAGTAATGTGAGTATGTGAAAATTGTCATCTGGACCACCAATTTTACGATACCAGAAAAGATGGGGATTTATAAAGTGTGTCACTGCAACCGTATGTTCACTATTTTCCATGTTCAACGTGTCCATTGTCAATTGGGATGTGTTAGAATTGGTTCACTTCCAAGAGAAGGCTGCTTGGAAAAAATGAAATAAGTTTTTAACAGGTTTGGATAGTTTGAAGACTAGCCTAGGGAAATTTGGTAATGTTTTCCTAAGCTTATTTTTTGTCAAGGTTTCCGAAATTATGTTCTTTCCCTACCTTATTAAAAAAATAGTATGTTTTTATAATGAGGCTCGGCTTGGACGTACTATCTGAAATAGCATGCCCATGCAAACGAAGCGTGGAAATGTACATTTGGAAAAACTAAAGCAATATTTTTTTTTGATATGGTCATGTTTAGTTGGGCTTCTCCCAGACAAGGTGTATTGCAATTTTTGTTAATATAAGAATGATTGACAGCATTCATTGAACATTGGGAACGCTTTCTTATATACTAAGAAACCAAACATGTAAGAAAAATGAATATATCCACCAAGAGAAGAGATTATATCCACCTTGCCGTTCTGGAGATGAACTATTGTTCAATATACCTTATGCTATTTGTTTATAGCCAGCGAAAAAATCTCTTAGATTATATCCACCTTGCCGTTCTGGGGATGAAATATTGTTCAATATACCTTATGCTATTTGTTTATAGCCTGTGATTTTTCTTGAGTGGGCCACAACTGACATTATAACTGTACACTTCACACGTGATATTTATATTTCCAGCATCCTGGCAAAATAACCTATTTGGAAGCAATAGGTGTTTTTCTTAACAAAAAAAAAAAAGCCGGTAGAAGAAAATTACCGTGGTCATGGAATGTAACCTAACTCGAATCACAACCGCCAAAAACCTTTGGTTTGTAAAAGATCGCCTGTAGGGGTATATGTTCATTTTATAATATATATATACTAAAATGTATCTTTTGTTTACCTTTCTTCTTATTGGAGAATATTCAAAGGCATTTTCATTATAAAACCACTCTTTAGGCAGGTCCTCCTTGAGTTGCTCCGCCACTTGCTGTTTGACTATCCTTACTGTCACTGTGAGTATCCCCGTATCCCCACCAGCAGCACATAGGGATGATGATTTGCAGGGACGCGTTAGAGATAGGTAGGTCGATTTCAGATTAATCGAATAATCGACCTTTAGTACTCAAAGTTTTGAAACTCGAAATCGACTATGGACTTATAGCATGTTTCCATTGGAAACCGAACAACGTTGTTCGCTCTCGAATTAGGTACACGAATTAACCCGTTCATACAGCACGATTCGTAATTCATAGTAAAACAATTCCCTTGTTTCTTGATTTTAATGGGAATTTATACGAAAATACATGAAATTCTCACTAATAAGAATAGAAGAAATTATTGCTTTCCTCCCAAAAATGTTTTATATCAATAATTTTACAATTTTCATTCACGTTTTCAACTTTTTATGTAAATGTTGACATTTTGAACATATTTTTGTGTTTTTCCATTTTTAAATTCTGCTGGAGAGACATTTGTCAAACATTTTTTCTGCCGATGGAAATATTTTGAAAATATTGCCTCTTTTGTTTGCAGTTTTCGGTGGGAATTTCAACTCGTGGACCAAATGCGTACCTCGAATGTGAGAGAAAACAAAATTTACTTTTGTTTGAATGTACATACGCCATTCAACATTGTAGTTGTCATTCATAATTTTCAGTCTTCTCAAAAAATTTTTAAAATTTCATTAAATTTTTCTATTTTTAATTTTTAAATGTCATAATTTATTTTTTCGATAAATGCTCTCATTTGTTAGGGATGGGACATATTTTTTTCGTTGTTCTGAGAGTGATTTGATTTGAACAACGTAAAAATATGAGTGTTCGCTCAGGAAATTTTGTGTGAAGAATTAAGTAGTTTTTTTATAGTTAAGGATCAAACAACGAATAGAGAGCGAATCAAGTGCAGTGCAGGAAACGCCACATTAGGTGAAAACCGAGTACTCAAATTGCTGTTCAACTAATGTGCCCAGTTCAAGTTATGGTCTCTTCCAGAACTGCAAGAATTTAAAAGTTTTAGTATGATAACCGATTTTCCTCTTTATGATGTCAGATTCTGGAACAGCCCTTTGATGAGGGATGAGTTGGTTGTTATTTTTCTTGAGTTGTTTTGTTGCAGAATAGAACGAAAGCGCGCGTGGGAAACCAAAATGAAAGTCGTTCCCAACGAAACGGATATAAATGCGTAAAAGGAGTATAAATGACAAATAGGAAGGAATTAAAATATTGTGATGTTTGCAATTTGAAAACAATCGCACTCTTACATTACATTTTATAAGAGTTATAATTATTCCAAATTTTGACCCTCTATGGGGGAGGTACTTGATGAAGTGAACTGATATTATTTGCACGTGACCTAGCACTGATGGAAATAGTAGGACTTGCAAAGTTGGAGTAAAATCGGATTATCCTTTCCCTTTCTATGCAGTAAATTATTTTCTTTGAAAATGTTGTCATTTTGTGGGGGAGGTACCAGAAGTAGTCGACCGATATTGCCCATCTCCGAACTCGATTTAAGTTTGACAATAATATTACGATGTACCAAGTTTTGATCAAATCGGATATTCCCTTCGATAGTTATCGTGCGCACCAGCCAGACGGACAGACATCTCTAGATTGACTCCAAATGTCCTGAAAAGGATTTGGCCCAAAGAGACTTAGGTCTAAAACCGTTATTTCGACCAGGCACGCTTTGACCGTATCAGCCATATGGCTGAGGGTATAAAAATATTGCGGCAGAAATTAACCTTGTATCAGAGAACTGAACTTATTTAAATTAGATTTATGTATTCTATAAAAATAACTGACAGAATCAGCCCGGTGGAAACATTTATACAGAAAACCCATTTTATTTAGACGGTTCCCTTGTTCTTTCTCCTGTAATTGTGCCATGTACATTAAGGTGGGAATACATAAAGCGATTGTTTGTCTGCCTTAAGTCATCGGCTGTCTTTTTCGTAGAGAAACAAAGGTGTTTGAGGTTGAATTAGTTCGATTTTGCTCCCTAGGCTCCTTTGTTCATTTCCGAAGAAGCCAGCCAAATAAGCCGTTTATGTATTCCCACCTTTAGTACAACACTATGATCACTTTTCCTTAGAATTTTTTTTAAAGTGATATGGAATAAGATGTCCTATTTATCTTATACATTTGTTCTTTTTAAGCTAGAAAATTAAACGCGGAAATATAATAAAAAAAATCGTATCGTGACATGGTTTCTATGACTTAAGTTTGTTTTAGATCTAGCTTACGCTTCGTTATTTAACTGACCTATAATCAAAGAAATTGGCATCTTAAATAATACGTTTTCTGATAATATTTTGGTGTTTCGACCACAAACAATTTTTGGTGCGACGGCAACTCTGTTCAATGACACATAACTGTACGACACGTTCTATAGTAATTCCACCGAATGAGACTTTTTTTGCAATATCTCGCTAATTGAAAGGGCAAAAGCTGAGTGCGTTCGTGAAAATTGTGAAAAAATGCAAAAATCTAGCTTAAATTACAAGCAATTCCTATAAATTCTGTATAAAAATGTGGATAACATAGCATACAACGGGATTGTGAAGAAAAATAGTCGGAAATTTATGGTTTTCTTTGTAAAATTGTGCTTTAAGTTTTCAACTCTTATGACGGCAACTAAATATTTGTCGACGTATTCGAATTGAATGTTAATTGAAATAATAACCGCTGAGAATTATGGAAATATCAATGGAAATAATGTGAATTTCATTGTTAAATAATATATTTTTCGAAGATTGCCCATTCCGTCGTTTGAAGTTTGATTTGAAAAAGAAGTGTGAGGTTTTGTGGGGCCAATAAAAGTGTCAGCGAAAAAATCTATAAATTAAAATTGGAGCAGAGCAGAGACAAGCAAGTGAAAAATTGAGACCCCCACACACACGCAAGTGAGAGTGATACACACAGGAATTATGGTAGCAAAACAAAAACGGAAATTTAGAATATAAACAAAAAACATAAAATATAAAGTAAAGGAAAAATAATGACCGGCAAAAAAATGTGTGCTTTGTGTACAACTACTGTCTACACAATTTTTAAATAATGATTTAGTTTTTTTTTCTGTTATTGATGTGTGGAGATTTTAATAAAAAATGGAAATAAATGGATAAAGAACGCCCGGGTAATTGTGTGTATGGACTGTTGCTGAGAAATCTTCGTAAAAATGGCTGAGGGTGGTGGTGGCGGTTGTGCTGCTGCTGTTGGCGGCGACCAACAACATTCGCTACCGGCAACAAGTGTCGATGACGAATCTCAAGACAACAACACAGAAGCCAATGAAAACACACAAAAAGAACAACAAAGCGATGTAAACAAAGAAATGACAACACATTCAAAAAGCTCTTCACCACCCCCCGTGAAAACAGATAACGTGGATAGTTTGTTTTATGCGGCAACCGGAACACATAAAGAAAAGGATGTAATTCAAAATAAAAATGAAGAACGGATTTATTTGGATGCCGATGCCAATAATGATGTAGCTCATGACGATGACGACGATGAAGATGGAGAAGATGAAAGTAATCAAACATTTTACGAAGCTACTGGCGGTGTAACGGAACTTGTTTTGACATTTGGCAATACACTGAAAATAGTTAATGATGTCATCAAAGAATCAGAAGCCAGCATGGCTTTGCTACCCATTCCAGTATCACAACAAGAAACCCATTATGTTGATGCTGCCACCGCTACAATTGATAATGCCGAGAATAAGGAAACCAAGCAATTGCCTTTTAGTAATGAAATAAATAACCTGAACATCACCAATAGTTTGTCGTCCACACGAACTAATACCATTCTTTTGGATGAGGATGAATGTGAAGGTGCTGTTGGCCTAGCAACTGATATTTTGAATGATGTGAATGTCTATGCTCCATCTTTGTTGGACAATGATCTCATTAGGATTCAACAGCAACATCCACAACACGATGAGCGGGATTTACACATTGAGGGTGAAACGGAGCCGATTGTGGTGTTGCGCAAAAAGAGAGGAAGAAGTAAGTATTTTTGAATCGAAATATAGGCTTTTAGTAAGCTAGTTATGCAGGCTTTTTGTTATGTGCCAAATCAAAAATAGTTTTTAAGGGCAGGTAATCTCGCCACAGGTTCTAGGGGACACGCTATTAGGCCTGAATATGAAGGCGGGTTGTGAGCTTTGGGCACATGGATTTTAAACTTTACATGGAGGTTTATCCCCTATTTATAAAAAAAAAACCTTTGAGACATGAATTTTCACACCCTACCATAAGAAGGTCATTTACGGACAACGTCTTATTATACCTTCCAGCATATTATGGAGAGTATATTAAGCTTGTCATTCCGTTTGTAACAACTCGAAATATACATTTTAGACCCCATAAAGTATTTATATTCTTGATCAGCACAAAATTCTATGTCGATTTAGGGATATACGTCCGTCTGTGGAAATCACTTTAGCTTCCCAACTAAATGAAGTAGGTTGATAAAATGTTACTCAAATGAATATTCTATCTGCATGGCAGTTGGTATTGAAAATGGACCATGAAGGTCCACGTTTTGGTATATCCCCCATATAATGGTACCTCACTATTTTTGGTATTTCGGTGATTTAAGCGACATTATTCACCGAAAATGTTTTACATTTGGTATTTGAAGTTCGTAATGGATACTACTGCCTATGACAGAAAATTGTCTGCGCAGGTCCACGTCTTCAAAGACCCCCATATAACGGCACCTTTCGATATTCGGTATTTTGATAATTTTAGCGACATTATTCACCGTAATTGTTTCAAATTTGGTATTTGAAGTTCGTAATGGATACTACAGGCTTTGAGAGAAAGTTCTCTGTGAAGGTCCACGTCTTCGTATAGACTCCATATAGCGGTACCTCCCGATATTGGGTATTTTGATGATTTAAGCGACATTATTCACCGGAATTATTTCAAATTTGGTATTTGAAGTTCGTAAAGGATACTACAGCATACGACAGAAAATTGTCTGTGCAGATCCACGTTTTGGTGTAGCCCCCATAAAATGGTACCTCCCTATATTCGGTATTTTAGTGATATTAGCTAGATTATTCGCCGATTTTTTTCAAGTTTCGCATTTGAATATTGTAATGGCTTATGACAAAAGTTGCCTATGCAGGTCCACGTCGTCGTATAGACCCTATCATCATTTGAAATACCTTTGACGTCGCATGGTCGGGTTATGGACCCCGTTGTTCCTCATCGTCTGCAACTATTTCTGCAATCACCATTAGAACCTCCATTTTTAACTTCAAGACTATTTTTTTTTACAGTACAGCCTTTTTGTTCGCTATTCACAATTTGGTGATCCAAACGAAACTGTGAACTGCTTGCATTTGCAGAACCATTACTCTTATCTATCTCCGCATAGCCAAGTTAGTTTCATCATTTGAAATACCTGTGACGTCGCATGGTCTGCAATCTCAAATAGTTGAGTTTTGTAATGCTCAAATAGTTGAGTTTTGTAATGCTCAGGTTCATCTTGCTGACCTCTTCATTTAGAATAAGCATAACGGGTCTTTGCTTTCAGAGTTAAAATCGCTTCTTATCATTATTTGACTAAAGATATCAAGAGACCAACTTCTTTTGGAGATTGCTCATGATCGATAGCATTTCATAGTAATTTACTTACGTGGTCGACTAAATATTTGCTTCAGATATTATATACTTGTTAGAAAAAGTAAGGCATTTTTGATAACTTCCAATTCCTAATCGACAGTGGTTCATATTGCTAAAAATCGTACTAATAACCTCCCCTAACACTATTTCCAATAGATGATCCTCATCCAGCGAATACTTAGGCTGACCTTACCCCATTATGTTTATGTCAATCTTGATGAATCACTCACCCTTCATCGTTTATAGTTATACAGATTTATATAATTTATAAATGCTATTTTCAAATAAATATCTAAAATTCATTCTAATTTTTCTTCTTCCAGACTTAAAGGATTACAATCACATCAATCAACATACAACTAGTGCCGCTCCAGAAGATGAACAAGCTTTGAAGCAACGTCAACAGACATTACTGACAACCAAATCGTGTGAAACTCCAGCTTCGGCCACAACATTGTCGCCCACAAACTCCTACAATGGCAGTATTGGCAGTGATGGTGGTGGCAGTGTTGGCGGTGGAGCGCGCCGCAAATCATGGACCCTCTCACCGCAAAGTGGTACCTCCACGCCGTTGAGCGGTGCCCGAAAGAAAGAAAAACGGGCCAGTGTAAAGTCGCCAGCGTCATCGACCCCAACAACCTCCACCGCAACGGATTCATTTAATCTTTGGATAGCTCGAGAATGTTATGAAACAGTACCAGCTGAAACTGTATTTGAGGTGGACGATGGCGGTCAAGGTTTGGTGGGACCAGTCAATTTTACAATCGATGAAGAGGCAGATGAGGAGGCAGCTGCAGTAGAAAGTTTACTGGGCGCTGCAGCAGCTCTACATGCCTCGGCCAGTGCTAACAAGGAAGCCCAGATCCAGAGACGGCAAAAACATTTACGTCAACCACAACATCGGCCATTGGAACGATCTTGGCCACCACGAGCCATTGGCAGGGATTTTCGTCTGCAAGGTGATGTCTTTAAATTTGATATTTTGGATACGGACGATACACTTGATGTCTATGGTGGTGGGGGAATTATCGGTTCCAATGGATATGGCAGCAATTCGAATAGCACCAACAACTCACCGCTCTATTTGCTGAACAGTGCCAATTCTAGTAATTCATCCAACTCGAGCCCGCAATATGAGCTAAGTGCCACACCCTCGCCACCTGCAATGAAATTTAAGCCTTTGATAAAAAAGAAAATCGGTCCTGATAGTTATATAAATACGATTACAACCAAAAAAGTGCCCGCAAGTGAAACATATGAGTTTCCGGCTTTTCCCACAAAAGAGAATTCCTCGAATACTCAATTTCCACAGACGCCATCGACCTCATCTCTGCGACAGCATAGACCTCTGACACGGACTCTGTCCAATGGGAAGTCGGCTTATGAGGAACGTCAATCTCAGTCGCCAAGTCGCCTAATGCTATCGCCAAAAAGGCATCGTAGCCCACCATCGGGATGCTCGACACGTAGTGCTTCCCCACTTGATTTTCAATTAAGTCCCGAGGCCCAGGTGTTGAACAGCAGCAACAGTGGACAACAGCAACAGGTGTCAGCAGTGTCCAGCAATTCGGGCACTCCCATTTTACACAATCGTCCGCAACAACGTCTGTTAAAACGGGTTGGCGGCGTTGGTGCTGGGGTGGGTTCCCCGAATCTTATATGTCCCCCAACACCTACACATCATGCCAGACGTCATGCTCGCATGCAACAGCAACAGGCGGCAGCAGCTGCGGCCGCTGCAATTTCCCTCAACAATAATCTCGATGATACGTATATTGGCAACGGGCCACCAAGTGGTGGTGGTGGTGGCGGCGGCGCTGTGGCGGGAGCCCATGCTAGTCATTTAGATTACAATTATTTATCGTCCCGTACTCCACCCTCTTCGCCAGCATTCCATGGTTCTTCCAGCAATCGCAGTGCCGATGATCGACCACGTGATCATTTAGGTGCTGCCGCCATGGCCGCCGCATCGTCCTCGGCCACTTCATCCACAATCGAGGTCATCGATAATGACGAAGATGACGGCAATGCCTCGGATGATTTGGGTGTGGTCCACATCACCAGCACACGTTTGCCTTCAATACCGGAGAGGGGTGCAGCAGGTGGCCTTTTACGCACTAGTGCCATATTTTCGGCCGAAGCTGACGGCCAGACCATAAATGCCGCCACTGCTGAACCTTTACCTCCGGCATGGGAGGCTAGAATGGATAGTCATGGTCGTATTTTCTATATCGATCACACGACCCGTACAACTTCCTGGCAAAGACCCGGATCAAATGGTTCGGCCACTCTAAATGGCCATGGTGGCCGTGAACAACATCACCGTCAACAACTGGACAGACGTTACCAATCCATACGGCGCACCATCACCAATGAAAATCGTCCGGCCATCGTGGGCCATAATGATAATACTCAAGCCTCGCAATCTCCACACCATCACCTAGCTCACAACAACAATCACAATGCACCACCACCATCGAATTTCCAGCACGTCTCTTTGTCGGTACACCCAGCTGTTCTTATGCTCTGCCGTCCGGATTTTTACTCAATGCTTCATACCAATGAAGATGCTTTAGCCATTTATAATCGCAATACTGCCCTCAAGCATATGGTAATACGTATACGAAGAGATCCCTCGTGTTTTCAACGCTATCAATACAACAAAGATTTGGTAGCTTTGGTCAATTCATTTGCCCAGCTCAATCGAGATTTGCCCTCGAGTTGGGAGACAAAGCTGGATCAGTCGGGCAAACAGTTCTTTATAGATCACAATAATCGACAAACGTCATTTATGGATCCACGTTTGCCCATTGACTGTCCAAGGATAATACGCCATAGGCAGCAACAACCCCAACCACATCATCCTCAATTCGATGCCATCGATGGCAATTGTATTTCTGCCGCTGGAGGCGTAGGAAATCATCCTCCCCTGCCACCACCCAGACCAACATCAACCTCATCGTCGTCGGGGACGACAAGCAATTCACGCCACAGTCAATTTATGCAAAACGATAATATGCCTCATTATGCACCGTCAACATCGTCATCATCCTACAACAATGGTCCCAGCTCCTCCAGTGCAATGTCGTCGAATAATAGTTATCATGAGATTCCCGTGGCCTATAATGAAAAGGTGAGTCTTGAATTTCCTGCCATTTAAGAAGTTATTTTAAAAATTGTTTTCCATGTTGTTGTTTTTCAGGTTATTGCCTTTTTGAGACAACCCAATATTATAGAAATTTTACGTGAACGTCAAGGCCAAAACAATGTGTCACGTTCCTTGAGGGAAAAAATTAATATTCTTCGAGTCGAAGGGGTGCCAGCCTTGGAAAGAATGGCTCATGATCTACAATTGACAATTATGTTAAGGTAAGTAAAGTACTTTTTACACAATAAAGGCGAAACTCGCTTTTTATCCAGATTTATGTATCAACTTATCTTTAGCCTAAGGGGAATATAATTGAACTCGTTTTTTATCTAAAATTACATTTTTTTCTCTCACAATGCCTCACACATAAGATATGTTGAGTTTTATATCTTTATATAGTTAGATATTTACATTGGTTGCTCAATAAAGAGTGGCTGTTTTTTATTGCGGCCTAGACCTTACAACACATGTTTATCCTATTCTTTATCATACACACTTAAATATCCGTGCTTTCTGGCAAAATACCTTCTCGTATACAATTTGTTACATATGCACTGATGTTATTGGCACCGCAATTAACAGGACTTATGAATTACTGGTACTGAAGATCTAGTTGGGTTCGACTTTTGTTAAAATTCGTGAAAAATGTTTTTTGGTTCCTCAATAATTCAGAATTATATGCTACTATGACCCTTTGAAAAATAAATTTAACCTTCAGAAAAAACTTAAAAAAATCCAGGAGTATAGACCGGAAGACAGTCCTTAAGAACTTTTAAAAATCTACGAATGTCATCCTATGATAAACTGTGAAAAAATGCGTGAAATTCTTCACTATTGACCTGAAGATATATTCAAGAAAATCTTCTAAATTCCATGACAACTGTCTGAAGATGGTTTTTAAAAAATCCACGATTATGGATTTGATGGTGGTCTTACAAATTTCCGAAAACCCACGACTATACATGTTATGTTAGCCTTAAAATAATTCCTTAAAAGTTATCAAAGGTGGCTATTCTGTTTTAAACCCCTTTAAAAGCCTCCTATATCTTACCAAAAAAAGATATCATCCTGAAAGTGGCCCGTAAACATTTTCTTTAAATAAGCCCTACTGAAATGCACGCCTGTAGACCTGTCGGTGGTCTTTGAAAAAATCTTTAAAAATCCATGCCCAGCGATCTGATGATGGTCTTCGACAAATTCTTTAAAGTTCCAGGCCTATAGACCTGAAGATGGTATTTTAAACTTCTTAAAAATCCTCGTTTAGGGACCTAATGATGGTGTTTGAAAAAATCTTTAAAAATCCACGCCTAGAGATCTGAAGTTGGTTTTTGAAAAATTCTTTAAAAATCCACGACTAAAGACCTGAAGATGGTATTTGATTTTTTTTTTAAATCCAAGCCTAGAGCTTATGGATGGTCTTTGAAAAATGCTTTAAAAATCCAAGCCTAGAGACATGAAGATGGTGTTTGAAAAATCCTTTAAAAATCCATGCCTAAAGATTTGGAGATGGCCTTTGAAAAATTCTTTAAAAGTCCCCGCCTAAAGATTTGGAGATGGTCTTTGATTTTTTTTTTTAAATCCACGCCTAGAGACCTGAAGATGTTCTTTGAAAAATTCTTTAAAAATCAACGTCTAGTGATTTGGAGATCGTCTTTTAAAAATTTTTAAAAATCCGTGACTAGAGACCGTCTTATTAAAAACTCCTTAAAAATCGATGCCTTGAGGTTCCTTGGTTAAAAATTCTTTAAAAATCGACGCTAGAGACCTGAAGATGGTTTTTGAAAAGTGCTTTAAAAATCGACGCTAGAGACCTGAAGATGGTTTTTGAAAAGTGCTTTAAAAATCGACGCTAGAGACCTGAAGATGGTTTTTGAAAAGTGCTTTAAAAATTCGAGCCTAGAGACCTGAAGATGGTGTTTTGAAAATGCTTTAAAAATCTACACCTAGAGAATTGGAGATGGTCTTTGAATTTTTTTTTTAATTCCAAATCTAGAGGTCTGAAGATGGTCTTTGATTTTTTTTTTTAAATCCACGCCTAGAGAATTGGAGATGGTCTTTGAAAAATTCTTTAAAAACCCACGCCTATAGACCTGAAGAAGCTTTTTGAAAAAATCTTTAAAAATCCACGCCTATAGACCTGAAGAAGCTTTTTGAAAAAATTTTTAAAAATCCACGCCTATAGACCTGAAGAAGCTTTTTGAAAAATTCTTTAAAAATTCACGCCAAAGGGAACTGATGATCTCTTTGAAAAATTATTTAAAAATCCACGTCTAGAGATCTGAAGTTGGTTTCTGAAAAATTCTTTAAAAATCCACGCCCAAGGGAACTGATGATCTCTTTGAAAAATTATTTAAAAATCCACGTCTAGAGATCTGAAGTTGGTTTTGAAAAATTATTTAAAAATCCACGTCTAGAGATCTGAAGTTGGTTTTGAAAAATTCTTTAAATATCCACGCCTAGAGACCTGATGAAGGTCTTCGGAAAAAATTCTTTAAAAATCCACGCCTAGGGAACTGATGACGGTCTTCGGAAAAATTCTTTAAAAAACCAGGCCTAGAGACCTAAAGATGGTTTTTGAAAAATTCTTTAAAAATCCAAGCCTAAAGACCTGAAGATGGTCTTTGAAAAAAATTAGTTAAAAATCTACACCTACCGACCTGAAATTCGTTAAAAAAATCCATATTTATTTTAATTTTAATTATATTCTTCTCTTCACACTGTTTATTTTGGAATGTATTTTTAAATTTTTAAATTCTAATTATCACTTTTTCGATGTTTTCTTCTGCATAGTAAATAATTCATAGAAAAATAAAAATTAATAAAGAAAAGACAATTATCAAATTTATTAAACAATTAGCACAAAAACATGTTGGCAATAAAAATAAACATGCTTTTAATTTATCAAATATTAACACCTTTCCAAATAACAATAATCGAAACTAGCTTCAGCATGATGTGTGTGGGAGTGGATGGATAGATACCTTAGTGTGTGTATTTGTTGGATTCCATACCTTTCGGTATTAATTATTGGCGCTAATTTGGCGACGTGAATTGCAGTGAGTAGTACGTACATATGTATGAACATATGTGCAAATTGAATTTAAATGAAATTACCTGAGGTCGCTTCGATATATGACCCAACATGTTTCGTGTCTAATTAGATTGTCAATATTTAGACAAGTTAATTACGAAAGTTGAACGTCGTGCGGTTAATAAAGGGAAACCATGTCACTTAGCTTTGTTTAAAAAATTCTAAAACCATATTTCATTATCAAGTATCGAATGAAATTCAGATCAATATTTATAAGAAATTCTTGAGTTATATCAGTTTTTAGCAGATGTTTTGTAAACTTTGAGATTTAATGTAGTCAAAGACATTTATTCAAACATTTGCAAAAATCAGCTTTACTTCTCTTATCTCTTAGATAAGTAACTGCAAATTATTCCCAAGCAACGCCTACATTATTTCATTTTTTTCATTCATTCATATATTTACATTCGATATGACAAAAGCTATTATAATCTAATTAAATAGAAATCAATAAGACGTTGACTTCCCAACCCACTAGCCTGGGAATATTAAATATTTGCCGTTCTTTACAATTCAACAACGATTAATACATAGTAATCAAGAATTAAGCAATGTCTCACTTATCGTAAAGGAATTCTTGCTTCGTGGAATTTATGACAGTCAGCCAGCCAGCCAGCCCTCCTTTCGTTCAGATTCTAAGTCATCTGGAAAATATTTGTAAACATTGGAATAAAACCAATACAGTCATATGAAATTCATTAAAACGAAGCAATTTCCTATGGATTTGTTAATTTGAATTTGAACGGATATATTAGCTAGGGAAATCTCTGAATCGGAATGATTTTTATATTTGAAGAAGGCGTGGATTTTTAAATCTATCTACCTCTATCCGTGGAATTTTAAAGAATTTTTAAAAGACCCTTATCAGGTCTCTAGGCGTGGATTTTTAAATCTATCTACCTCTATCCGTGGATTTTTAAAGAATTTTTCAAAGACCTTCATCAGGTCTCTAGGCGTGGATTTTTAAAGAATTTTTCAAAGACCTTCATCAGGTCTCTAGGCGTGGATTTTTAAAAATTTTTCAAACACCTTTATAAGGTCTCTATGCGTGGATTTTTAAAGAATTTTTCAAAGACCTTCATCAGGTCTCTTGGCGTGGATTTTTAAAGAATTTTTCAAAGACCTTCATCAGGTCTCTAGGCGTGGATTTTTAAAGAATTTTTCAAAGATCTTCATCAGGTCTCTAGGCGTGGATTTTTAAAGAATTTTTCAAAGACCTTCATCAGGTCTCTAGGCGTGGATTTTTAAAGAGTTTTTCAAAGACCTTAATCAGGTCTCTAGGCGTGGATTTTTAAAGAATTTTTCAAAGACCTTCATCAGGTCTCTAGGCGTGGATTTTTAAAGAATTTTTCAAAGACCTTCATCAGGTCTCTAGGCGTGGATTTTTAAAGAATTTTTCAAAGACCTTCATCAGGTCTCTAGGCGTGGATTTTTAAAGAATTTTTCAAAGACCTTCATCAGGTCTCTAGGCGTGGATTTTTAAAGAATTTTTCAAAGACCTTCATCAGGTCTCTAGGCGTGGATTTTTAAAGAATTTTTCAAAGACCTTTATCAGATCTCTAGGCGCGGATTTTTAAAGAATTTTTCAAAGACCTTCATCAGGTCTCTAGGCGTGGATTTTTAAAGAATTTTTCAAAGACCTTCATCAGGTCTCTAGGCATGGATTTTTAAAGAATTTTTCAAAGACCATCATCAGTTCTCTAGACGTTGTTTTTGAAAGACTGTTGTCAGGTTTCTAGGCGTGGATTTTTCAATCAATCTTCAAAGACCATCACCAGGTCTCTGGGTAGTTTTTTAGGCGGATAATTTTTGTTATATAGCCGTTTTTTCTTTTTGAGAGACCCTCCTCATAATTCAATTAAATTTTAGCCTTATTATAAACTAATTACAAAATGTATTAACAGAAAAAAATTAATTTTAATTTCAAATGTTTAGTTCAATGACCTGTAATCGAACATTATAAAAGGTCATTATTATTTTAAATAAATATTTCCTGTAATTTATTGTAAGTAAAAAAAAAACAAAAACCAAAACACCTAACAATCGAAATCTAAGATTTACCGCAATAAGTTTACACAAATTAATAACATTTACAAATTAGGCAGAACTCCGCAAGCCTCATAGTTTTTT